TAAACATCAGCATTTGAAAAATTGATTACAGTATAACAGTGGTGCCCAACTCAGAAGTGGCCAAGGGCCACATTGAAATAATAGAGCATTATGTGGGCCACAAAGGAAAAAAGTACAAGAAATGTTGTTCATGTACTGTGTAATTCCTGGGATGGTTGAAACTATTTTATTTTTCTACACAAAAATTCAAAAAGAATTTCAGGATTTTCATTATCTGGCTTTTTCATCTACAAACTGTTTTGCTGCATTTTTTTTACTGACAAACTTCAACTTGTATCTTCATTACTTCATGATGACTGAATTTTTTTTCATGGAATCATAATATTCAATCTGCATAACTTTTCAAAATGATGCAATTGAAGTCCAAAACGAATAAGCCACTGGCAACTGAAAATTTGGAGTGATTTTAAATGTTGAGACTACTTTTGGCTGAAAGAAAAATAAAAGCCTGTGTTTTGGAAATTAAAGAACTAATGTGAGGAAATATGGTCTCTAATGATTTCACACAATTGTTATAACATTTCTTCAAAATTAAAAAAATTGATCTATGTACAAAGAAGCAATAATGATTCAACCTCCCAAAACATCAAATGTTCAAGGCCTTTTTGGGATGGTCAAAGCCAGGATATGTGTCTGGCGTGAAGTTAAGTGATGTGGGGAATTTTTCATGAAGTTTTTATTAATCAATGAGCCACTTGAATTCACATTTGGATCTAGAATAAATCCAGACTGACAATTTGAGACAGACATTTTTGGAGACAGGGACAATTTGAGACAGAAACTTCTGGAGGCAGGGATTATTTGAAGTAGATACATTTTGAGGCGGGACAATATGAGACATTTTGAGATAGAAGCATTTTCAAAAATAAAGTGGGGGGATCTGAGGACAACCAGGAAGTGTGCATTTGAAAACTCCCTAAAAATCACCAAGAATCTGAAGAAACCCAGAAAGTGTGTATGTATAAAAATATATCTTGTGTGCAGAGTTGCTTTGGGCAAGGCTCAAATTGTCCTTGTCTCTAAATGTCCATGTCTCCAAGTGTCCCTGTCACTGAATTGCTTAGGCTCAAATTGGACCTCTGTCTTGAATTGGCCCTCTGTCTCAAATTGTCCCTGTCTCAAATTGACCCTGTCTCAAATTTTCAATCTCTATTGGCCCAGTGTTGAATTGTCTTTCTCAATTTTTTCATGTCACATATGTATTTTTACATGATTCTTTGTTGATATGTTAATTTCAGGCTATTGAGAAAATTAAGCTACTGTACATCCTTCCCCTATCAAGAGATGCAATTAAATTTTTAAAAAAACACAACAGAAAATGCTGGGGTAATATTTAAATTCCAAGATTGCAAAACCCTGCCCTTTCCTTTGATTAACAGAACCACTGACATCACAAATTAATCCATACTGTTCTATTGGTCTTTCTTGTTACAAGGAATTGTTACAATATTTGTGAAGCCCTACTATAATTCCTAATCAAAATTGCAGAGTGAAGGCATCTTGAAAAATTTGCAATATTTACTTTTTATGGTCTTAATTTTTTGGTGGTGAACTTTCATGCTGTCTTGGCGGGCCAGATTTTAAGCCTTCAAGGGACAGATCTGGCCCGCGGGCCGTATCTTGGGCACCCCTGTTTAGATTATTTCAATGTACATTCGCTTGACTTATATTATTTTCATTTACATTCCTTTTTTGTATTACTGCAGTACTGTGTATCTTCAACTATCACAGCATGGATGGTAGAATAGTTTATGAATCTGGTTTTTGAAGAGCTGCCAACATTATTTAAATAAATAAAACTTCAGAAATATAAATGCTTCTGATTTGAAAATAGTGCACCTGAATAACTTTTTGTACCAAAATTTGACCCTAAAGAATTGCTGAACCAGGGTTGACTTGCAAATTGGTCAAATAGCAAGACACTTGCTGAAATTCAAAAATTCAATGAACAAAAATGCAATAAAATGGCAAAAGCTGGTTAAATAGCTGGGCAAGGGTTGAATTGCAAATTGCAAATTCATCTGTTGAATTGCATGCTGGTTGAATTGCAGGAGGTCAAATTGCAAGGTACCACCTGTACCAATTGTATGGTACCAGATGTGCATGTGTGCTGCATCCAATAACCAGCTCAGGGCTTCAAAGGGAAATGTCCTTAAACTTCAATACCTGAGTGATTCAATAAATACTTCATTGGTGGAAACCATGCCTTAGACATCAACAATAAGAAAAAAAATGGTTTCATTTGAAATTTATTCAGCTTTCAGGAATTCATGATGCACTTTCTGCTGGAGCATAACCCTTGCCAAGCTCCTGACTTTTGCAGTTCATTGGCTCTTATTGTTTCCCAGACTGACTGGATAACAATACCATGCTTCCGTCCATGAGTAAAATCAATTCATAAATTAAGTTTGTCTTTCCAGATCGTCGATCGACGGGAAATTTCGGGTTGCTACGCTTCTGGAAAAATAAGACGCGGCCTTTGGAACTTCCATTGTTTCCTATACCTCTCAACGATTCAAGCCTTTTTTATCATGCCGCATTTTTCCAACGATAGAAATAAATAAATGAATACAACCGCTGTGATTATGCCTCGGCTTCGTGACGTGACGTTGATTTTGAAACGGAAAATGAAAACGCAACCAAGATGAGGCGTTACGGAAGAACGAAAGCCGGGTTTTATTTTATTTTGCAATTACTGCATGTCCAATGAACAGAAAATAAAATGTATCCGCATGCCTTCACGCGAGAAATTAAAAAGCATCTTTCCTCATTCCGTCAAATTTATCTTCAAACGGAATCGTCACGCCATTATACTGCCCTAAAATACATTTTATGGCAAATTTTTTTTATGAAATCCTTCTCCGGAATAAATAATTTACCGATTTTGAGGAGGGGGGGGGGAATACTTTTACTTCCAGGAATTCTTTTAGAGTACATTAATGAACACGGCGTGCATGCCCAACACCATTAGCAAGGCTCATTCATTGCTGGTCTTGGAAGGCTCATATAATTTCTTAATTTCGTTTATTTTTTACTGAAAGCTAGGGTTTTTGAAGCATCGATTTCTGTAGAATTTATAAGTTATGCCTCGAGAAACATTTTGTTATAAACTTACGAGTATTCCAAAATTTCAGCTTTAGACTGAAAAATAATCGTTGATTTATTGGCGTCACTCTTTCATGGCCATCTGACAGCGAATGGATGTTGGCACTAAATCAAAAATATCATACAAAAGGTACAGCTAATTGCATCAAAATATGTTCACATGAGACTTTGTGGCACAGCAGAGTCACACGTGTCAGTCAATTGATGAGACATGATTTTATTTCTCTGGCCAAAAGAGAATTAATAAATGGTAAACCAGAATTGAATCACGAATAGACTTTAAAACATTGAAATGCTTAAACAATTTCTGAATGTTGGATTTTTGCAGAAAGCTAGTGTTAT